TCCAATGCATTCACAAATAATCCAACAAATACATCCTCAAGAAAACCCTTTTTTAAACCATTAATCGAATCTTGCAGAAAAAAGAAAAACAATCGAATTGATGTTGGCAAGGAGAAGACCGAGCCATAAAACCAACAAAAAACATAGCAGCACATAGATCTCACCAAAGGAATGAGCGAGAATCGATGTTTGCGAGGGAGAAGATCAGGGAGAGAGAGGGCGAGGGAGAGTGCGAGAGAGATCACCCAAGAGCACAAGAGGAATTCGAGCCTTAAACGCCAGTCGTGAACGTCGAATGCATTCCTTGCCCCGCGATGGACTTTTAATACAAAAAAAAGTAATGCGCGTCGCGACGTTTAAGAAACGCACACTGAATGCTTTATCCAACCAACGTGGCGACATTCTCAAAATGCCGTCGCACCTAAATAAGCTGCCCCAAACGGACTCTAAGAATTCAATTTTTAGTTCCTACGATTGATTATAAAAAAAAAAATTGGAAAGACTTAATGTGGAATAATTATTTCTAGAACCAGAATGAATGAAAAATATGAGATGTTGAAGATGTTGAATAAACCTCAATGACATCTCAAACTAACATATGTTTTGACTTTACATCTTTGAAATGAAAGATATTTGATGTTTCAATCTTGCAATTTTTTTTTGAAATTTAGGACTTATTTTTCACGAGATACAATCATGAAAAAGCATAAGATAGTGAGAGGATTTACAACGTACTAAATGAATAATATGGGAATCCTAAAAGGTTTGGACTTATATTGCATGACATACAATCATGCAAAAGCCTAAGAAAGTGTCAAGATTTGTGTCACACAAGTCGAACGACCTCAGAATTTATATGCTATGAGCTCGATGCAAGATGACTCGTCTCGATATGACGGTTACATTGAGTTGAATTGTGACAGTGGATGCCTATTCACCACCATTGATGCTTCTAGACCACCATCGTTGCGCTGCTACCACTGTCGAGTCGTGACAACACAATAGTTTTCGTTGGTTCACCGCTACTAACGATGCTAACAACAAATTTTATGGAACAGAACATTTAACATCAATCTTTTTTCATAATAGTTGGGTTGTTGTCGCCTCCTCAATGTACACTGCCACTCATGTAACAAAAAACACTTTGATAACCACCACATGTGTAAATATTGTTTCTAACTATTCAAGCCGTGAAAAAGTATTATAACCTACATAAGCATGTTTAAGACATTTCAATTCAGCCAAGCACCATGAGTTTTGTCTTTTTTTATTTTCCACGTAGAACCCCTGGTGTCCCTTCTATTGGCTCATTTTATTTGTGTGTATATTGGATTTTCGTACAATATTAATACGTTAATATATCTATATCATCACAAATTCTTTGGTATGCAGAAAAAGATTGCAGTTTATATAGGATCCTACACAAACTTTTTGATACTATGAATAATCACCTTTTGTACTCCTAAAACTCTTTTGGACGAAATAGAGTTGCCTTGATGTATTAGTGGATGATAGATTGACAAGGTTTAATAAATCATAATGGTGTCGTCAAAGTGAAATCCTTTTGATCTAGAGATTATTGTGGGATAATTTATTCTTAAGTCTATTAAAACCAATGAACATAAATCATTAGAATGCATCAAGTGACAATCAATGATAAACTTGTTCTATGTTTTGACACGAGGGAAGACAAATAAGATGAGTGTCGTACAAGTATTGTTCAAAAAAGATAACATGTGTCGATAATGGTCACTTGTTGATACCAAGTAACATGCGATAGAATTAATATAGTTTATAAAATTGGGAACTCTCTTAATTAAAACTTCTCTTGTATTCTCTTGTATTTATATGAATATGGCATATGACATCGTTTGGTGTGTCATAAATGTTGGATCCTAATTTGTTAATGTATCACACCCTAAGATTAAAGCATGAGATGGGAGAGAGAGAGAGAGCATTGCAGAGAAATGAACATTAATTTAGAGAAAGTGCATAACAGTTTATTAATAAAATGACCCATTGTTTATAGAGCAAAGGGGATACCATTTTGTGAGCTTACATGTTGTGTCATTGCTTTAACAGTGATTGTACAAATTATTATTGTACATATTATTATACATATTTGACATATTTGGGTTCAAGGTTCGGTAGTTTTAAGGCTCGACTAATTAGACTGGCAAATCCTTTAAAAGGTATCGCCGATCAGCTGAGCTATAGAGGCTTCTCAGTCGAACTAGTTTGGTAAGACCTTCGATCGACTAGACTTGATGTTGCCAGTGGGTTGGACTCTTACTACTAGAGGGTCAAACAAGTTGATTAGGTTAACTACATGGTGTCGATTGGTTGATCAACTATGACAGCCAACCCATCATTCTTAAAAGGAGCACCTGCAGGCTATTTGAACTAGGCTATCGAATAAAAAGTGAATCATCGTAATTCAATAAGTAGCCGCCCTTAAAAAAAGATATTTGCAGGATTGTTGAGTTTCGTCTTATTGACTTTTGATGATTTTTTAGGAAGTTGTTGAATATGCCAAACTAGTTGAAGAATAATTTTTCGTTGAATATATATATATATATATATATATA